AACACACCTGGTGTTTAGGTGAGCAATATCGAGCAGTCTTGCAGCCGCCACATACTTTATCCCCTTTCCATGTTCCACACCAAGTGCAAAGGGGAGCTAAAGAGACCCAAAAACATAATCAATAATAATAAAAAAAAGAACTGAGTCTCAAAACCATCATCAATCAGTTCATAAGTTCACCTCCATGTCCCAAGGGCTTGTCTGTTCCATCGTGTTTTGGAGCCTCACTCGAGTAAAACGGATTAACACGAGGCAATTGGCAACGGAACACCTTCACACTTCAGAAACAAACACAAAAAGAAAACAAAAGTTCAATCATAACACCTAACTAAAGAGAAGCGTAACAAACACAAAGGGTGTTTCCTTTCTTCTACCTCCGCATAGGTTTCTCAGGGACACGTTTCCATTGTTCGTGTTGATCACGGAGGAGACAAGACATAGATGGACACATGAAGAGAAACAACGTCCGGTGAAAAGCTGATTCCTTGTCCGTTAACGGAGCATAAAGCTGCCAATTTTGTCATCAACCCCGTAAATAAACCCCGACCAAGCAACATATAAACAAAATACTACCTACGCTACTTACAAGATTTACAAGATTCTTTTTCTAGTGTTTTCATACATTGAAAAACACATTAAATCACTATTGTAAATGCATCATTTTTTCACAATTTTCAATAACTTTTAACCAACAGTAATTCAATAACCTTAATTATTTTTCTTCAAATTTACATTTTTTTACACTCCCTCCGTTTCAGTTTACTTGTGTTTCGGGTTTTTGCACACAGACTAAGCAAAAATTTAATTATTATATGTTCTAGAAAAAAACACAATTAACTATATATCTAACAACATTTCAATCAATAGTTCTACATAGTAGTAGACAAAATCAATAAATTTTGCATTGAAAATATAAAATGACATTTTTTGTAAAACGAAAATTTTAGTTCTAAATTGAAAAGGAGAGAGTAGTAAACTTAAAAAATCTTTGTGGTATTTTTTTCGTTCTAAAAAATTCTATCATAATACAATTGGAGGAAAAGTATAGTTTTGTAATGAAAAACAAACCTGAAGTACAAATTGCAGAGGCTCTTCACATAAGTCACAAAGAATAGACTTCCCTGATGGTAAATTAACTGGATCCAACCATGCCTGAATTCAAAAGAATCAAAACCTAAGAACATAAAAAGACAAGCTTTATATTTGCGAATATTAAAAGATTATTACCGGAACACCGCCTGCTAAGTTAGGAAAGAGTTGTCGGAGATTAGACCATGGGAACTTGGGACTCTCGACGAAACCCAATGTCACAGGCTCTTCGTTCTCTTCCTCGTCATCATCATCATCATCGAATTCGTCTAAGTTTATTGGTTCCACTTGAGATTCTTCTTTAACGTCTTCGTCTTCATCGTCATCGAGTTGGGTGATTCGGAGGCCTTTGAAATCTTCTCCGTTGAAGCTACCCATCTCTAAAGGTTCTGACTTTCTGAATTGATTTGTTGAAAATGAATGATTCTAGGGTTTTACTATTTGCTGCATAAACCTTACGAAGAAGACGATGAAGTTGAAACACTCTCTGATACTCCTTTTGGCCCCAAAAAAAAAAACCCTAGAACGAAACGACATCGTATTCGAATTAATAACAACGTTTTAAGTAATATATAAATGGGCCTTATGAGGCTACAACTTAAGCCCAAATAACTCTCCGTCTCCGTTAAGTCTACTAACAACCACGCGCTAAACCAGAGAACGCTTTACACGATTCAGATTCATTACTTTCTTCCGACGACACAAAACTCCGTGAAACCCGAAGCTCATAAAAAACTCGATCTCGTGTGTAGAGTTTGATTTGGATTTTGATGGCGACGAGGAACCGAACGACGGTGTACAGGAAACACAGAGACGCGTGTAAGAGCGCGCGTGCTCCTCTGTCTGATTCGTTCGGTGGTCCGGTGATCGAAATGGTTAGCGGCTCTTTTACTCGGTCCAATCACTCCTCTTACGCTCCTTTGAGTACCAATGATCCTGGCACTTCAAGGTAGTTTCTGTGTTCTTGTTCTTGATCATGGAATTGAAATTGGGATGTTTCTTGATCGGATTTAGAATAAAAATACAAACTTTTCTTGATGGGTTTGAATAAAAATGCAAACTTTCTTGATGGGTCTGAATAAAAATGCAAACTTTATGATTGAATTGAATTGTTTCTTGATGGGATTTTGAAATAAAAAAAAAATACAAAATTTTATTGATGGGTTTGAATACAAATGAAAACTTTCTTGTTTGGGATTTTGAAATAAAAATACAAACTTGGTGATTGAGTTGAATTTGTTTCTTGATGGGTTTAAATAAAATGCAAACTTTCTTTTGATGAAATTGAACAAAAAAATGCACACTTGATGATTGAATTGAATTGTCTCTTGATGGGTTTGCATAAAAATGCAAACTTTATGATTGAATTGAATTGTTTCTTGATGGGATTTTGAAATAAAAATACAAACTTTTATTGATAGGTTTGAATATAAATGCAAACTTTCTTGTTTGGGATTTTGAAATAAAAATACAAACTTGATGATTGAGTTGAATTGTTTCTTGATGGGTTTGAATAAAAATGCAAACTTTATTGTTATTTTGTGAATGTTTCTCTTTTTGCAGTAGCAATGATGCCTTCACAATTGGTCTGCCACCGGCTTGGGTGGATGACTCTGAGGAGATCACTTTTAATATACAGAAGGTGAGAGACAAGATGGGTGAGCTAGCAAAGGCTCATTCAAAGGCTCTAATGCCTACCTTTGGAGATAACAGAGGGGATCAGCGTGTAGTAGAGATGCTCACTCATGAAATCACGGATTTGTTGAGGAAGTCAGAGAAGAGATTGCACAATTTATCTACCAGAGGAGGGCCTTCAGAAGAATCTAATCTCAGGAAAAATGTTCAGGTATTGCTGGACTTCTTCAATATTGATCTTGTTAAGGATAAAGAGTCAATGAGAACATATTCTCATTACCAATCTAGTTGACATTAGCATCAGTTAGCAAATATATGATATAAATTAGGTTTTTTGTACTATTAGACTTCTTCAGTATTGAGCTTGTTAAGGATATAGAGGATCAGTATTATGCATTTAGAGAATCCATGTAGATTGTAGAAGAACTTGGGTTAAACTATTCTCATCTGAGATATTATTTTCATTACCAATCTAGTGGACATTATCATCAGTTAGGTTATTATATGGTTTGAGTTTGTAACTTGAGGTTAAAGTTCTGTGTACATGTGTTAGTAGGGATCTCGAATGGACTTGACCTACTCTTTGACATACTGTTTTTTGACAGCGTTCTCTTGCAACAGATCTTCAGAGCCTCTCCATGGAGCTCCGCAGAAAACAGTCTACTTATTTAAAACGTCTCCAGCAGCAGAAAGAGGTCTTTTACCAATTTTTTTCATGGGATATGCATGTTGTACCCTAAATTGATGCTCTTATTTATTTTTGGCTTCCCAAATCAAAGGGTCAGGATGGAGTAGATTTGGAGTTTAACATGAATGGAAAGATGTCAAGACTTGATGAAGACGAAGAACTTGGTGGCATGGTAAGTGCTTAAACGTCAATGACATTAAGAAACACTTGTTATAATTATCAAGCTAGAGCGGTTCAGTTATCCCAATCAAATGTCACTGACTTCCTTAACACTGGTCTCAACAAAATTTAGGGTTTTGATGAACACCAGACAGTGAAGTTGAAGGAAGGGCAACATGTCTCAGCGGAAAGGGAAAGAGAAATACAGCAGGTAATGAGAAGCCATTAATCTACTGTTTTTTTTTAACAAAAAAAAACTTCTAGATTTCAATGGTGATGAAGTTGAGATTGTCCTTGGTAGGTATTGGGGTCAGTGAATGACCTTGCACAGATAATGAAAGACTTATCAGCTCTTGTGATTGACCAGGTTCCCATCTTAACTCACTAAGGCATTTATAAAAATATATATATTAAGTTTTTTTGGTATTATTTCCCTCAACTAATGATTTTGCTGTGTTCTTGTATCAATCAGGGCACAATAGTTGATCGTATAGACTACAATATCCAAAATGTTTCTACAACGGTTGAAGAAGGCTATAAGCAACTACAAAAGGTTTGACTCTTTTACCAAAAAAGCTACACAAGTTCTTTTATTGTGAGATATTATTGGACTCACAGAAATATGTTTTTTTTTTTCGTTTTTGTATAGGCGGAGAGAACACAAAGAGAAGGAGCAATGGTGAAATGTGCGACGATACTGCTTATACTTTGCATCATAATGATTGTTCTTTTAATTCTCAAGAATGTATTGTTTTAGTCAGTTGTATAATTTTTCTCTCTCTAAAAGAACAGCTGCCTTTTTGTTATAACAATCCTTTTAACCATATTCTTTTTCTTTTTGAGCTATCGCAGTTTCTTGTTTTTTTGGGCTTGAAAGTTTGGAACAGATATAGTAAGGCTGATGGTTATTGTGCTCTTTGTTCTTAAGGAAAGTATCTTCCAGAAAACGTAGAGATGAAAACATTAATAGAGCGGAGACAACACAGAGAACTAATAATATGGTGATATATGCGACAAAATCCTTATACTCTGTTTCACAGTGATTGTTCTTGTAGTCCTCAAGAACAGGTTACCTATAAATTTAAAGAAAACAGCTTGCCTTTTGTAAGGATAGGATACATAATGAAAGTGAACTTCAGGTACCATACATCCTTTCTGGTATGAGCTTCCTTTGAATTATATTTAGAGGGCTCGCAACATATCTTGTGAACGAAAACATCACAGCTTTTACAGATGTATCCATCGCTGGTAGCTTCCACAGCACTCACATTTCCTCTGATCATTCCAAGGCATCATAGGATTCCATTTTCTCATATAATAAGAAGCAGACGCCAAGGGGGTTGCCAGGCAACTTGTGATGTGCATCTTAAACATGTATAATGGTAATATGTGGATTCGACAATAATAAACTGATAGGTCTAATGGTAATGTTTTGTTGAATTATTGAGAAGCTACTTATACGACAAAGTCCATGGTAATTAACTTCAGATTTCCTTCTACATCTAAAAAGACTATAATAGTTTACAAGAAAATTCTTAAGGAACTATACAATAAGAAGAGCAAGTGTATGTCTCCGAGGTTCTTCCAAGTAACTTGAGGATGATAGGGTACATGCAACGAGACTTACACGAGCTGCAAAATGGGCGAGTTACACTTTTATTGAGCACCACCTCATACGATTGGTACCACAACTTTGTTACGCTTTTAGGCATCAACCCTGTAAAGTTTCCGAGCACACACTTTGTATGCAAACTAGCCAAGTGATCTTTACACGTGTAGAACCATTCCTTTGGATTGGTTTCTTTTTCACAAATGTCACACCAGTATTTACCACTTGCCTCTTCTTCTTCTTCTTCGCCATAGCATAGTGAGAGAGGATGATCATCTACTCTGTGCTTTACCAATTGTGGTATAGTGGCACATCTGAAGCACAATAAAAATCCACAATCACTTTCAATGCACCTGAGGACATTTGATCTCCATTTCCCGTTGCAACCATTGCATATGTGATCTTCTTTTGTTGGAATGTAATATAAGGGATGTTGGGGATGACTTAGATGGACATATGGCTCTGAAATTGAACCGCACAAGACATCAAAGGTTGTATCACCATGCTTGTACATGAAACCATTGGAAAATCGTTGGCAAGCATAACAAACGAAGGCATCTGGCTCATTTTTTGTAACTAAAGTGAGCCGATCATTGTGTAGGACATGCCTTCTTTTTTTAGGACATTCAGCACAGCTCTGATGGAGAAAAAAATCACAATCCAGACATCCATAAAAGGATTGGAGACATATGGAATGGGTGCATGCGCTGCACCGTTTGTTGTCATCATACAAAATACCATTTCCATGGAGTCTTAGGTGATGTTCTTTGTGACTGAAATGTTGTATAGTGTTGTCATCTATCACCACATATGGTTCTATATCTTCTTCTTCTTCTTCTTCAGGTAATCCTTCAAGTTCTTTCCCGTTCCATACATCATCTCTGGTAGCGCATCTCGAATGAACGACATAGCCAGGAGGACACCTCAGACAAGAAAATCCCCCATATTTCCAGTCCACCTTCTTGCGACAAACTCCGCACACAGAATTCATAGCACCGTCACCAAGAACCGAAGTACGAGAAACACGGTGATCATGACGATTGATGTTAATGACACGTGGAAGGGAAAGACAGTGTTGATGGATCATGAAACAACATGGAACACATATGTAAGGGCTTCGATCTCCCTTGAGGCCGCAAGCATTACAAGTAAAAGAATCGAGTCTTGGAAGAAGGGTGAGTTGGTGATCATGAGCTTTCAAATCCACAACAGTTTTTGGTGGCGGATTCAAAACACAACGCATATCCAAAGTGAAATCACAAGAAGAACAATGATAAAACAAATCTTCATCAACGTTTCTTCCGCAAAGACGACATATTCCATCAGAATAATCAGGTGGTGGACCCGTGAGGAGCTTAAGAGGATGATGTAAAGAGTGGTAAGAGTGGTTTATCTCTGGTGAGTGATTTAGCTCTACTGATGGTGGGTGCCATACACAATCCACATGGAAAGCTACATCTTCACATTCATCACATTTGTATGGATATCCACGACCAGCCTTCCCGCATTTAGTACAACAGTCGATTTTAGTCCGTTCCTTGACAAGTGTGAGCTTGTGGTGGTGCTTCTTGGAATTGTCAATAACTTCTGGTGGTGTGTACTTGAGGCAGCGTAGATCCAAGTCGAAGTCACACATATCACAACGATAGGATAGAAACAAGATTCTCCTATCACATAAATCACATAGGGTTTTATTAATACCTTGAACTTGAATATGTGGACGAAGATGGAGAGTGTGATTGGGATGATATGGGTGGTCCATAAATTCAGAGAGTTCCTCGTCGCCACATTTCTTGTGCACGAAAAAATCACAGAGTTTACAATAGTAGCCATCGCTCTGAGATTCAAAGTATTCACAACAGTCACCTCTCCTCAGATCATTCCAAGGGATCATAGGATGCTTGTGAAACAATGGTAGTGACACTCCCTCAGATTCCATTTTGCTCTCTCGTAGTATACTCAGAAGAAGACTGTTACTCAAAGAAAAACACTCCACTTAGACTCCTTTTGATCAGTGTGGCATCTCTTCTGCCCACTCAAACCTTATCTCCTTTCTCAAGTTTCTTTTTCATTTTTAGTTTTATATTTCTATGAAAAAGGTTCCCTACGCTTCACGTGGGTTTGTCCGCTTTGTTCTTTATTTTTCTTTTATTTGTTTGGTTTTCTTTTTGTAACCATTCTTTTTGCTCACTCAACAATGAGTTTGTTGTGTTTTTGTGTTAATTAGGGTACAATATTTGATCGGATAGATTATAATATCCAAAATGTTTCGACCTCGGTCGAGGAAGGCTATAAACAACTGCAAATGGTGGTTTGATACTTTACCAAAAACTACGTGAGTTCTTTTATTGTGAGAAACTCACGGAGACATGTTTTTGTATTCTTGAATAAGGCGAAAAGAAAGACAAAGAGAAGTAGCAATGTATACACGTATAGTTTTTCTAAAAGGACAGCTGCTCTGTTGTTCAAAACAAATTTTTAATCTTGTCTTTTTCTTGTTGAGTTATCATTTTCCAAGCGTTTTTAAATGTAGAGATTCAAAAAAGCTGTGGTCGCAGTTTCCTTGTTTTTAGTCTTGAAAATTTGGAACAGATGGTAAGACTGGAAAGGAAAAACAGTCTCCATGGATAAGGGAGTCACATTGATAAAAAAAAAAAAAGAAAGAAGTAGATGAACGCAGCAGAGAAAATAAAAGCTTTCATTGATATTTGGATAAAAAGTTGAGTAAAGATATGAGAGAAACGTTTTATGGAGTCTCTTCCTTTACCTACTGGCTGCTTTATTTCTCTTTTCCTGACAAGTTGTTCATTGTGTAGCACATGCCATTTCTTTTCAAGACATTCAGCACTATCGAAATGTTAATAAAAAACAGCTATAGCCTTGTGTTACTACAAACCAAAGGATAAGACACAATACATTAGGAAGATCAATTCATAATAAAAGTGAACTTGTATAAGAAACTAAAACGTATAAACATCTTCCCTCCATGGCATACTTCAATTTTAATGATGTATCTCTACAGCGAACTCTCCATTAAATATAAGGGCAATATTCAAGAGAGCAAATGTATGCCACTGAGTTTCCAAGGAACTTGAAGTAGTAGGTACATGCAACGAGACTTACACCAATGCAAAATGGGTGAGTTACACTATTGTTGAGCACCACTTCATACGATAAGCCCCACAACTCTGTAACACTTCTTGGCATAAACCCTGTTGAGTCTCCGAGCACACACCTTGTTTGCAAACTATCCCGATGATCTTTACAAGTGTAGAACCATTCCTTTGGATTGGTTTCTTTCTCACAAATGTCACACCAGTATTTACCACTTACCTCTCCTTCTTCGCCATAACAAAGTGAGAGAAGATGATCGTCTAATATGTGCTTTACCACTTGTGGTAAAGTGGCACATTTGGAGCACAATATAAATCTACAATCATCTTCAATGCATCTGATCACATAATGTTCCTTGCTGTTGCAACCATTGCCTACTTCCTTATTTTTTCTTGGAATGTAATATAAGGGATGTTGGAGATGACTTGGATGGAAAAATGGCTCAGAAATTGAATCGCAGAAGACATCCAACGCCTGATCCTCATGCTTGTACATGAAACCATTGGAAACCTTTTCGCAAGCATTACAACTGAAGAATCCGAGCTCCTCGTTAATAACTAAAGTGAGCCGGTCGTTGTGTACCACATGATATTTCTTTTTAGGACATTCAGCACAGTTCTTGTGGAGAGAAAAATCGCAATCCATACATCCATAAAAGGATTGGACACCGATGGGATGGGTGCATGCGTTGCATCGTTTTTTCTCTGCATACATGATACCATTCCAATGGAGACTTAAGTGATGCTTTTTGTGGCTGAAATGTTGTATTGTGTTGTCATCTGTTACAGCATATGGTTCTACATCTTCTTCTTCTCCAGGTACTCCTTCGAGTTCTTTTCTGTTCCATACATCCTCTCTGGTAGCACTTTTAGAATGAAGGACATAGCCAGGACACATCAGACAAGAAAATCCATCATACTTCCAATTCACCTTCTTTCCAAAAACTCTGCACACAGAATTCACAACACCAAGAACATAAGTACGAGAAACATTGTGATCATGGCGATTGATGTTAATAACACGTGGAAGGCCAAGACAGCGTTGATGGATCATGAAACCACATGGAACACATATGTAGGGGCTTAGATCTCCCTTGAGCCCATAAGAATATATGTAAAGAATCGATTCTTGGAAGAAGAGTGAGTTGGTGATCATGAGTTTTCAAATTCACAACAGATTGTGGTGTGGGTGCAGAACACAACGCATATCCAAGTCGAAGTTACAAGAAGAACAATGATAAAAAATTATTTATTAATCTCTCTTTGGCAAAGACGACATGTGCCATCATAATAGTCCGGTGGTGGACCCTTGAACAGCTTAAGAGGACGCAAGGAGTGGTAAGTATGATTTACCTCTGGTGGGTGTTTGAACTTCTGGTGCTGCCAAACACAATCTACATAACATTCTTCACATTTTTATGTAAACCCAACATCATCATTCCCGCATTTAGCAGTGTTCGATTGTTCCTTGACAATTGTGAGCTTGTGGGGGTGCGTCTCGAAATTGTCAATAACATCTATTGGTGGGTACTATAGAACCATGATTTCTAAGATATAGTAAAACTGAATAATTTGTTTATATAATGATAATAATATAAATAAAATATACAATACTTGAAACCAAAATATGATGAATAAATACCGGTTTCGTGTGGAGGCGAGACATTATTTTCTTAATTCTTTAATTGCCCGTAGTGTGATGGTGTTTAAGCAATCAGAATCCCATGATACAACCGCACTTCGACTATTCCACATCACTCAGAATATAAGCTAACAAACCTATTTTTGTGTTATACTCTCAGACAAAAAAAAATAGCATAACTATTCTAAGTGGGAGATGTATCAATCCAAAAATATGTGTCATTTCTATAATGCTAACAAACCAATTTATAGAAAAAGAAATGAGAAACACAAGTTTCATTTACAACATAGAAATGAAACCTCCATGGTGCACTAAGGGAGACTAAATTTTGCCAATTAATATGTGAATTTATTTCACATTTTGACTAAAAAATTAAAGAGTATAACTATTATTGTTTGACACACAAAATAATATACTTTAAATGGATTTATTTTTTTATATTTAATCAATATAAACGATCACATATATTTGGTTATAAGATTAAGTTAATGAACATGAAGTCCAACAACAAATCAAAACCCAAACCTAAATATCTAATGTGTATATTTGTAACTTTATACAGTAAAACCTCTATAAATTAATAATGTTGGGACTTTGAAATTTTATTAATTTATAGAGATATTAATTTACGAAAATTTCCTTATTTAGATTTTTTCTATTTTTATTTATAAAATAAAAAATATTTGATTTTAGCACATTTACATTATTTAAATTTTAGAAATTTTACTTTTATATTGTTTTATTATCTTATTTGGTGTATATTTTTATATTTTATAGAATTGTTACATGGTTTTCGATGTAATTTAACTAAATATTATCAAAATATATTGAAATGTTTAAAAAATAAAAATATTTTTAGAGTAAATATAAATCCCCTAACTAAATATTATCAAAATTTACTGAAATGTTTAAAAAAATAAGAGTATTTTTATAGTAAATATAAAACCAACAATATAATGTTAGATTGTACTTATATAAAATTATATATAGCTAGATTATTAATTTATGATTTTAGTGGGACCATATATTTACATGGCAGATTTAAAAATATTATTATCTTATTATTTTATCGATTTGTGTCATATTTTACACCGGCCCAAGTTGGGACCGGTGAAATTTATTAATTTATAGAGATTATTAATTTATCGAGTATTAATTTATAGAGGTTCTACTGTACCAGTTTCTCAAATCACACACATTAAACTCCATTTCTTATTCAATAAAATTTTATTTTGACATATGAATACACTATTCATAATGTTCAAAAATAATTCCAACAATTATCCACATGAATGAAAATTACTCTAGACACTAGACGATTTGACTTCTTAGACAAGACTCGACACGACTCGAAAAGACCTAACTAAGGACTTTTGAGAGTACAAACAAAAAATCCACTACATGATGAATTGGTAACAATTTTCAGCATTGAACCAGTCATTGTTAATAGCTATCGGATTTACTCGACTAGGTAGTGAACATTATGTCTTGAACCATCCGGACTTTGATGTAAACCTAGACAATAGCTAAAACATAGCTTCATTCTCTCACAGAACTAAGTTCTCTATTGTGTTTATTTTGGCCGTGAACATACATGGTTAATCATGAGTGAACTTAGAGAATATAGCATTTCCGTCAATCTCTTAGAAACAGCCTTATTTCATACTCACTAGGTGATTTGTCATTAGTTTTGTTGGAGGAGTATCATGTACTACCCCATTCATATCGCAAAACGACACAAATCATAAAAGCAAATGCTTATCATGTAATCCTTACATGTGGCACTGTTTAATCTTCATAGGAACTAGGTATAGACCGAAGTCTTACAGTGCTTTGGGCAGATTTAGTTTGACTTAGTTGTCTCCTTGAACCTATTTTTTGGGATCTCCAGTCAGTTAGGTAGAGTTACCGCCAAACCTCATCTTAATTCACATGCTAAACCCATTCCTCTAGATGATATACCAATTGGATCTCATGACACACCTTTAATAAAAGGACCCTAGGTTATCATCATGATGAACATAATCTCTTGAGATTAGTCGAGATCAATTGTCTAATGTTTTTTGTCATTTTTGTTTCAAGATACAAAATTAATCATTATCCACAAAACTCAGTGCACGACAATAGTTTTTTTCTTGTGATAAGTATCACTTAGTTCATTTGGTCTCTTGCCAACAATTTAAT